AGGCGAAACGTCAGGAGAAATGCCTCTAGAACATGGCTCTATAGCCTGAAAAAACCCACAAGAACCTAATAAGCTATGATTTGCAAAGATGCAGAATCACAGCAAAGTACAATTTCTGTACAAGATGATTTACATATCAAGGGGGGGGGGAGGATGGCATTTTGCAGTGATTATAAGGAAATATGTCAATTAAAAAGAAAGATGCAAACTATATTTAGGATTCATATCTGAGTTGGCTATTTTGACATCAAAAGGGCTATTGGATGTCTGACAAAGTGTGCAGCTGTCTGTAAAATTCATGATAAATATATTCATTCTGTTACAATCAGACTCTGCTGTTTTCATCCTGTGAGACTAACACAGCTTATATGTGTGGGAGCAGTATTTAAACTTTGAGATGTCTACCTGTTTTATCAGATTGAAGTAAGCCTGCTAGGTGATTTAAAGAAGTCTTTGTTGATTTAATCAGACAGTTGTCTGTGAACAATGCAATTAAGTATTCTGAGGAACGAGCATTATTTCTTATCTGGAAACCCTTGGTCTATTGCTAAAATTGAAGATAGACTCCTTTCTCAGCAAATGTCACTATAGAGGAGATATTCCTTCTTTTGTCTGTAGGAGGTAAACCCGCTTTTCTTCAATGCTTTCTGTCACACATGGTTTCTTTTTTTACTGATCCAAAGACCTCTAATTCATTTAAACAAATCAAGTAGTCAATTAAACATTGCAACTGTAACTTGGAAAAGTTATCAGTGCCTTCAAAATATTTGAAATTTTGTTAGCTTTTTTTCTTTACTGTTTTCCCAGCCCCCTCCCCTCGCTCCAGTGTAGTTATTTTGACTTTATAGGTGAAAGATTGAAAGAATAACACAGTGATACTGGGTTTTATTTACAGTCTGATACCTGATCTAGATAAAAGTCATGCTCACATCAGTTTAGCAAACAATACTAGATTACTTCTAGACTTGCAAGTGATTCTCATGATTTGCCGAGAACTGTAGGGGAAATGCTACAATTCGGTGCTGTATTCTGGTGATTTTTAAGATTCTATACTCCTGGCAACCCTAGGCGTCTTGGTGCAAATGGATGTAGAAATTATCAGTTCTGAGCTTGCATAGAAGGCCACCTGCCATGCATGTCCATCGCGTAAATCAGATGAACTATGGATATGTGGTGGGGTGGTGGTGTAATATGGAACACAAGGCAGGTTTCACTGATGGGTTTTCTCTGAAGTCAGTTACAAACCTAGGCATACTTGGAAGGGAATGGGGAAGCATGGGCTTTAGTAATATGTCCAGTGTATGCTTTGTTGTTGGATTCTATTGCACTAAGGTTAGATTATTTCCTCTCTTGGTCTGGCGGAATCGTAGTGGTGCATGGATTATTTTAGCAATATCCTTCAAGTATAGCAAGGTTTAGTATTGATCCTAACTCATCTGTCAAGTGTAAGACAAAGTCAGGGTCTTCTTGTTGGATGGGAAATCTAGGTTCTCATTGCTTATATGACAGGGATCAGCATCTATCGAAGACACTACAGGAGATCTTGGAAGACTGCATGCCATCCCTACTCTGAAGAACACTCAGGGATCATTATTGAAAAGAAATGTACGACAAGATCATTCATGGCTTT